TCCCCGAGGACACACGCCGCAGCCTCTTCTCCGAGTACTCGCACAAGAAGCCACCGTGGCCGCGTCCCCATCCCTCGCCGGATGCCGCGCACGTGACGCCCCGCCGCCGGCGAAGGCCGCCGCCACGAGGAGACCCGCACGCAGCCGCCACACAGCTCGGCGTCGACCCATCTGCAACCATGCCATGGGCCCGCCGCCCTCAAGATCGTCGCCGCCGCGCCGCCAGGATCCGCGCACCCCGACCCATCTACTGCTTAATAAATACATCCATGATCTTATGAAGAAAATATTTTACTCATCTGATACACAATCTCCATGTTTTGTTTATCTACTCATTTTTTTGGTATCATGGGTGGCATTTAAGTAAACTTTGCTATTGCTTGTGGTGTAGGTGTTTCTTGATATTCATGCTTCAAGCTCCATGGAAGTAGATGAAAGAATGTCCATTCATCTTCAGATATTCCGGCAACCCAATATACTAGAAGATGTATCATTCATGCAAAAGGAGTTCATTATGTAGTCAATTAGGACTATGAGTGGAACATCTCATGCAAAGCAATAAAATTGTACATATCTTGTTTGATGACTTCTAGGTGTGGAGGTGAGCATACGACTTTTTCCTATACATTGCCACGCCCATCCATTTTTTTCAATAGAAATGATTTTCATATCCATTTTTTGAGTAGAAATGATTGTTATTGGAGGCATGAAATATAACAATCATGTCTATTAAAAAAATGAATGGACGCAGCAATGCGTGCCATCAATGATCTAGTAAGGATTAAACTACTTCTATCGGCCGGTATTTAAGTCCGGAGAGCTTGCTCGCTGCGATCAAGACAAATTAATGTAGGAGTAGAGGACGGCTAAACACACGATGGATTGTGCCCGATCTGTGGACGACAAGCTATAGCAGCCATCGATCAGTTGAGTTCACGTGGGGCGCAGCCATCGATCACCAGGTTGTCTGAGAATCGTCCAGCACATTGTCGTGTGCATAGTAGTTTTGATCTTTGCATGCTTAATCTTCGTTATAGTAATTAATCCCCTGCGTGCAAAAGCATCCATTGCCACCAGATACCCAATAAATGGTAATCAATCGATGCATATTGTGACTGTCCGGACCGCCATCAATATAGAATTCTTGCTAGCTATTATCACAGGAGGACCATTAGAGCAAGTATAATAAGGTGAGGTATCCGGACCGTAAAACTTTAAATATTATATATTTGCTGAGTTGGATGAGAAAGAAGGGAAAGAGAAGATAAGCGGGCTGTAGATTTACAGCCGGCTGTAGCACAGGCTTCAAGAAGCTATATGAGAGTGTATGGTGGTAAAAAAATAGTACTTTCTTGTAGTCCACTACTATACATGTTAGTTATTACATTGACTGTATATGACATGGCAACATGTTATAGCCATTAGTCGGCTATATTATTAATCATGCTTTGAGCCGACTAACAAACCAGGCTGTAGGAAGTAGTGCCACTTGTTTCAAACGGACCGAGATGCGTGCACCTATTTCATAGTGCCACTTGTCATTTACTGGTTGTTTATTGGCCTCCAATCGATGAAAGAGCGCTCTTGCACATCACTAGCATGTGTTCCCTGCTTGTTGTATTCAGCCATGAAGATGCGAAAATCCATCTCTGCACCGGAGCTCATCTGCACCCGAGCTGATGAAACAATTCAAAACAAATACTAGAAAAATTAAAAAAAATGATTTTTTTTGGGATAGTAGACAATTTGATGCGTGAGGTACGCTCTAAATTTCAAATCATTTGGACATCTGAGGAGCTGCTCAGATGTTCAAATGACTTGAAATTTGGAGCGGGCCTCACGCATGAAATTTTCTACCGCACAAAAAAAAATTAGATTTTTTTTTGAATTGTTTGCCAAATTTTTTCTGACCAGGTGCAGATGAGCCTGGGCAACGAAACGCCCTGCTCCATGAAGATGATTCTTCTTTTCTCTGCGGAAAGATGCTTGCCTTTTTCCTAATCGACTGGAGGGTATAACATGTTTATCCCACTCATGTTTATTTTTGTATGTGCAGTACTATCTATTTGCGTAGATATTTCTACTATGTGCCTAGTACGTGATTATGTGATCAGATATGAATATGTGCTTAATACTGTCAACAACGCCATGCTCATGTTTTATTGTTGGATTAATTTAATCAATTTTCTTTTGCCTATATACTCAACAACTGAGGCAAACATGTTGATGAGAGATGAAGGTCGCTGACACATGGACATGTCCTCAGGGGCGGACCCAGAACAAAAATGTCCCGGTGTTCATGTGTACATCATATATATGATAGCACACTTGACAACTCAAAATGTATGGCACAGTAAGATTCCCTCCCAAAATGAAATGTCTCACTTTAACTTGAAATACTAGTTGATTATCTGAAGTACAACACTAAAGCATGCAAACTAGAAACAATGAAAATAAATATAACCGGACGACGACAGACAATAGATCCTGATCGCCTTTAAAAAATTAACTTAGTACATATTAAATGAACTTGCGCAATAATTCATAAATTAAGTGACGTGCATTACTTTTTTCAAATAACCCTCTACGTCCTTTCCATCAATTTCCCTGTAATTTTCCGATTTTTGTGTTCAAAAAAATGCACAACGAGTTACATCATCTGTGTTTGAATATGCAAGAATAGAAACAATAAATAAGCATATTGATTAAACTGTACAATTAGGGAGTTAAACTTACTGGACATCGTGCCTTCCTGCTGCCGTTCACGAGGTTGAGAAATAATCCAGTTGGATGTGAATCACTAACCGAAATTGGCAAATCGCAGCAATTTGTTACCAATTGTATTACCTTTAAATTTTAGAACCCTAACCATACAATTAGGATAACAGAAATTATATAGAATTGAGATGCCTACTGATAGTTGAGGATAGTTGAGGGAGTCAGAGAGATCCACAATTAGTACCAAGTGCAGGGCGTCATACCTTTGTTTACTTCAAAAATGAAAAATCAAAAATCCAGAAAG